CGCCATTGTCTCTCTTGCGCTTGGCTTATACGAGACTTTTGGACAAAGCCATGCACCGGGCGAAGCTCGAGTCGAGTGGGTTGAGGGTGTTGCCATTATGGTTGCCATTGTTATCGTTGTCATGGTTGGCTCGATCAACGATTGGCGAATGCAGCAAAAGTTCAACACTCTCAACAAAAAGAATGACGATCGCACTGTCAAGGTCATCCGTTCTGGCAAGTCGGTGGAAATATCTGTCTACGACATTGTGGTTGGCGATGTCGTTCATCTCTCAACAGGCGACAGTAAGTGTTTATCGTTGAGACATCTGGTCGATCCCTGGCTAACGCATAGTTCTTTAGTGGTACCAGTTGACGGCATCTTCATTGAAGGTCATGGGGTCAAGTGCGACGAGTCATCGGCTACAGGCGAGTCTGATCTGCTCAAAAAGGTCGGCGCCGACGAAGTCTACGAGGCTCTTGACAAGATGGCAAAAGACAATGTCGATCATCCTGATATCGAGAAAATGGACCCCTTCATCATCTCCGGCAGCAAGATTCAAGAAGGCACTGGTACTTTCTTGGCCACTGCAGTTGGCGTCAATTCTTCATATGGCCGTATCACCATGTCTCTCAGAACCGAGCAAGAAGATACCCCATTGCAGAGAAAGCTCAACATTCTTGCAGATTGGATTGCGAAAGCTGGTTTTGCCGCAGCTTTGCTGTTGTTCATTGTCCTTTTCATCAAGTTCTGCGTTGGACTTCCCACAAACAATGGTACTCCTGAGCAGAAGGGTCAGCAATTCCTAAAGCTCTTCATCGTCTCTGTTACCGTTGTCGTTGTGGCTGTTCCCGAGGGACTGCCTCTAGCTGTTACTTTAGCGCTATCTTTTGCAACATCACGTATGATGAAAGACAATAATTTGGTGAGAGTTCTCAAGGCTTGCGAGACAATGGGCAACGCAACCACCATTTGCTCAGACAAGACGGGAACCCTCACGCAAAACAAGATGTCAGTTGTTGCCACGACCCTAGGTAAGAGTATCAGTTTTGGCGGTACCGATGCTCCTCTTGAGTCCTCAAGAGAAGAGAAGCCCAAGAACAGTACGTCGCCTTCCGACGAAACCCACGTCAACTCGGTTCGCAATGTTTCAGCTGGAGATTTTGCCAAAGACCTGAGCTCCGAGACAAAGCAACTCCTCATTCAAGGCAATGCTGTCAACTCCACTGCGTTCGAGGGAGACCAAGAAGGAGAGCACACTTTCATCGGGTCCAAGACTGAAGTTGCCCTTCTCACTTTCAGCCGGGATCAACTAGGAGCCGGACCTGTCGAAGAGGAGCGATCAAACGCAAACGTGGTTCAAGTTGTCCCCTTCGATTCGGCAGTCAAGTACATGGCTACTGTTGTCAAACTCTCGAACGGTAAATATAGGGCTTACGTCAAGGGAGCCTCTGAGATTCTCCTCGGAAAATGCACCAAGGTGTTGGACAACCCAAGTGGTTCCGAGCTCAACGTGGTCGACTTGACTTCGGAGGACAAGGATATGTTCGCGCAAACAATTGACTCGTACGCTGGCCAAACCCTTCGCACAATTGGCTCTTCCTTCCGAGACTTCGACTCCTGGCCACCAAAGGAAGCCGTCTCCGAGGAGGACTCGAGGAGTGCAGATTTTGAGAAGATTCACCAAGACATGACCCTCATTGCGATTTACGGTATCAAAGATCCCTTGAGACCTTCCGTCATCGATGCTATCAAGGACTGCAATCGCGCCGGTGTAGTGGTCCGCATGGTCACTGGAGACAACATCTTGACGGCAAGAGCAATCGCCAATGAATGTGGCATCTATCACCCCGAAGATGGTGGCATTGCCATGGAAGGTCCGACTTTCCGCAGGAAGACTGAGGAAGAGCTCAAGGACATTGTTCCCAAACTACAAGTTCTTGCGCGTTCCAGTCCAGAAGACAAGAGAATTCTTGTCCGAACTCTCAAAGATCTTGGTGAGACGGTTGCTGTGACTGGAGATGGCACGAATGACGCACCCGCGCTGAAGCTGTCAGATATTGGTTTTTCCATGGGCATTGCTGGCACCGAAGTTGCGAAAGAAGCATCTGGTATCATTCTGATGGATGACAACTTTGCTTCAATCGTCAAGGCCCTGATGTGGGGAAGAGCTGTGAATGACTCTGTAAAGAAGTTCTTGCAGGTAAGTTGCATGAGTGAAGTGATTAGACGGAATCCGCTAATAAGTCAAAGTTCCAACTGACCGTGAACGTTACCGCTGTTGTTTTGACATTTGTCTCTGCAGTCGCCAGCCCTACACAGGAGTCGGTTCTCAACGCCGTCCAACTGCTCTGGGTCAACTTGATCATGGACACATTTGCCGCGCTCGCGCTTGCCACGGACCCGCCGACTCGCAGTGTCCTGGACCGCAAGCCTGACCGAAAGTCTGCTTCACTTATCACGCTGAGGATGGCCAAGATGATTATGGGACAAGCAATTTTGCAGCTCGTGATCACCTTTGTCTTGAACTTTGCTGGACGCAGCCTTTTGGGCTATGGCACATCCGAAGATGATACCAAGAGTCTGAATACCCTCGTTTTCAACACATTTGTTTGGTTGCAGATTTTCAACGAACTGAAGTACGTAATTTATGGTGAAAAAGTTATGAATGATCAGCTAACTCTCTACTAGCAATCGCCGCCTAGATAACAGGTTCAACATTTTCGAAAACATCACCAAGAACTACTTCTTCATCGGAATCAACCTGATCATGATTGGTGGTCAGGTTCTCATCATTTTCAAGGGAGGTGAGGCATTCCAGATCCATGCTCTAAATGGCAAAGAATGGGGTCTCTCTATCGGCCTCGGCGCCATCTCTCTTCCTTGGGGAGCTTTCATCCGTCTCATTCCCGACGCGTGGGTGGCTTCATGTCTGCCATGGTTCATCCGCAAGAAGTGGGCGCCTGATACGATTTCGGAGAAGCGTCTCGAGGAGCATCGCAAGTTTACTGGCGGTCTCGAACCTCCTCTGCGGACACACACTGGACTCAGAGGCCGCAGAGCGCAGGAGCACATGCCGTTCCGCCAGCGGATGCACAATGTGAAGGTCCATGCCAAGGCGAAGATTGGCGGCCATGATCACAGCGTTTCGCCTATCAAGGAGGGTTAAGAATCAAGAATTTAGCAACAGCAGGCTCGTAATCATGTAATAGTAGTAATTAGTAACAACAACTCTTTTGATCGAGCTTCCGCGACTGGTCGTTTATCACTGCCAAACGTGTTTGGACGACCTACTTCAAATTTGTGTCGTATCAACTTAACAGTACCATAAAAACAGTTAAGGGGCAAACAAAATGAGCGTCAAATTTGTCGCACCGGAACGTCATATGAGTGCTCAAGGTAGATGTACAACAAAGCCGCAACTTGCAAGTGAATCGCAGTGTGGAAGGAGACCTGTGGCGTTTGGCGAATGTGGCTGGTGATGACAGCTGCGACATTCGATCCTTAGTCATCCAGCCTTTGATGGTTAAAGGGAAGGTGGATCGCAGAGCCAATCAGAGCCCATGTATTTCGGCAAAGCTAAGTGCTTCCCGGAACATCGCGAATTTCGTCAAGACTCCCAACACCATCCGATTCAACCCACTCTCCCCCCGAACGATCCATCGCCTCGCCGACCGCAACGAAGCACCACTTGTCACTACACGAGACGTGCGAACTTGACAGACGATAATTCACAATGGTATGTGCAACGGCCTGCGGGCACCTGTCGCGCTACCACAATTGGCTAATCGCTCACTTTTTTTTGTTTCTCTATAGGCCGCCGCTCGCCCCTTCTACACGCAAGTCTTTCCCTCTCTCTGCTTCCTGCAGCTTTCACCGACGACCGAGACCGAATATACTCAGCTTGAATGCTTGCGCGAATTGGATCTGGGACCTGAATGAGTAGACGAAGGGACGTATGTGCTAACTAGTGGTGGTACAGCGCTATCTTCAAGAACAACTTCTCCATGCTTGGCTTTGTCTTTGCGACGGGCTTCGCTTTCGAAATGTGAGATCACTCCCCTGCGATAATCCGTCTTGCTGGTGCCTTGGGCGAGGCCTCGGGGAGAGAAGAGGCCGATGGGTCCGGAGGTATCGGGGTAGTTGAGAGGGAATTACATGTGGGCTGACATTTGCGCTCTAGGGGCTTCAACGGCGCGATGAACAAGTACTGGGACTACCTTAACCGCGGCGTAAGTACTTCAATGGGCACAATTTAGGTGCAGGGTCACTATATGGTAGGCTGGGACTGTTCGCTGACAAGAGATTGAAACATGTAGCGCCAATGGAAGGACATCCGCCACAAGTACGTTGAGGCTGCCGATGACGACGAGGAATAGACGACGAAATCTACGACTGTACTGGGAGATCGAAATAGAGTGAACGAGGGGCCTTTTTTTCCTCTTTTCACAGCTTTGGCTTGGTGGAGGAGGGGGAAGTCCCTAGGTGGGCGTGTATTTTGTACCGATAGACGGAAGGGCGTGTAGAACATCAAGCTACCTTTCTGCATATTACTTGCATTCGAGGCTCTCCTTTTTGCTTTTTGTGAGGGATGACGTGAGGAGGATCTAGGAGGGTTAAGCGGATTGCAGGCTAATAATCCTGGCAGGTGTTGAGGTTTGATTGGGATGAGCTCTCCTGAGAGGTTCTGTATTGCAGCTGAGGTTCAGGGTGGTTTATGTAGCTACGAAGCTGCTTTTCCGGTAGGAGGTTCATCCAGCGTGTGAAGATATCACGGTCCACGGATCACGTATAGGTACTGCAAGGGAGAACTTACATACAGAACCATACTTTAAGCAATCATATGGGCAATTCTACAAGTCTCGTGCTCTTGTACACTCCATTGGGTACCTTGGGCGGTCACTCGAGCTGAACACGTCTAGATGGATGTTTCACTTGTTTTTTGTATTCATTATGATCTATAGAGACTGCTCACTTCCTTCACGGGCCGAGCTTTCTCCCGGAAAGGTACATCTTGCCATTCAAGGAAGGGCAATGCACTCAATCTCAACGTCAACGTTCTTGGGCAGAGTCTTGACGGCGACGCAGCTGCGGGCGGGCTTGTGGGTGAACCACTTCTCGTACTCGCCGTTCATCTCCTGTTCGTGATTGTTAGGGGCGGATTAAGATGGACAAACCAAGAGAAACAGCACAGAAAATTTTAAAGGTCAGGGGAAAATGGGGGAAGGGTAGGAGTGATGGAGGGAACTTACGGCAAAGTCGCCCATGTCAGCGAGGAAGATGTTGACCTTGACGACCTTCTCAATGGAGGAGCCGGCCTCAACGAGGACGGCCTTGAGGTTGGAGATGCACTGCTTGGTCTTGTCGGCGATGGAGCCCTCGACGAAGGTGCCCTCGGGGGTGAGGGGGATCTGGCCGGAGCAGTAGATGGCGGTGGGGGTCTTGATGGCCTGGGACTGTTGGGGGTTGATGATGGTTAGATTAGACTTTTTCTTCAAAAGAGTCCCATGATGGGAGAGTGTGGTGTTTCCATACGTAGGGGCCAAGAGCTATTCGAGTTGGTTTGTTAGCTAGTGTTACTTGGAGTCACCAGCTGGAGGTGAATAGGATGAGACTGAGAGAATACTCACCGGCCGGGGCGTTCTTAGTGAAGACGATGGATTGCTCAGACATCTTTGCTGTGTTGACGCTAAAGGGCTGAATATGGAATCTTGTGATGATGCGTGGTGTTGAGCGGACGGCGGCGCGGGATGAAAGTCTTGTGACGGATCTGAGGAGTGAGGACATTGGGAAGGGAAGGGGAAATGGACGAGAGAACTATCTATCGCGGGGTTATGAGCAATTGGGCAATTGGAGCAAAGCAGAGACGTAGCACTACGGAGTACACAGGTAAAGGTAGGGCGGACTGCGGCGAATTGAGGGTCTACATATAAAGTTGGAGCTTCACGATTGGATGGGCGGGCTTCGGGCGGGGTGCCGTTGGTGGCATGTGTGGTGCGGCACGCCCTCCGTTCTTCGGCGCTGGGCCCGGTGCGCGGATGGAGGGGTGGGTTCGTCGGCGCGGCCAGTTGCAGGTTGTGGCTTTCCAGCGCCCTGGATTGACAAGTCGACATGACATTGCATTGGTGCCTGTAAGCTTTGTTGAATACCATGTCTGTGGGATCTTGTTATTGGATATCTATCTGTAGTGTATCCGCCGCTGGCATATTCTTGAAGTTGTATTTCGACTAGGTATCTAGCATCTGTACATTCAGATACCTGGGCCAGGAATTATGGCATTGGCCACTGGCTAGGAAAGATTTCGAAGATATTGAATAGTTCCTGTCATACAGGACGATACTTGTTCCTGGGGAGCAGCTTGTTCTGCCTACGCGTACAATGTATCTCTTAAAGTGATTTTGTGTCGGAGATTCAGAGGCTCCACGAAGCATCATGGGATACTTATCTTATCGCAGCGGAAGGTGGGAAGAGGTGAGATGAGGTGAGGTGGGCTGGAGCTGCCCTTGCTCTCTACCGATTCTAAGGAGTCCACTTGTACTCCGTAGTCTCCCCAAGCCGCCCTTGGAACACTACTCCGAAATTGTTAGCGCAGCTCCATCCAATGGAATGAATTGAATGCCCAGCAAGAAACCAGAATGAGTGCGTGAATGCCTAGATGATTTTATTGATAGCTCTGTCACTTTGGCCAAGTGTCCAGTCCTCTTGGTGATCCCTGGAGAAAGAGATCAATCCCTGCCCCAAAAATTATCCCGTCCCCTAAGGTACCTTAGCCTCTGAGACTACGGATACTACCTACGGATAGGGCCATCTGGTCTTCGGGAAGGTTCAGTGTCAGTCTGCAGTCTGCACGTCGTCAGGGGGTCTCCCAAGTTTTTCCGCTCAAGTTCCCGGGGAAGACAATTAATCTTCCTTGTCCCTTTTTCTGCCGTCTCTCAATCTTCTTCTCCATTATCGTGAGAAGTCAATTCGGGCCCTCTCTTTTTCTCTTCCCTAGGCAACTTCTTCGCCTTCTTCTTCTTCTTCAAGTCATTCCTTAACGCGTCACCTTTTTATATTGCGTTCCCTTCCTTCTCTTCAACTTTTGACCAAACGTGACGTGAGGGCTGACGCGCTCCACTTTTCCTCATAGCGTGTAAGTTAGCTACAAGCCCCTGAGCTCGCTCCCTTACAGCTCCAAAGTACCGTACCTAGTGCGATACGTACCACTCATCGATTGGATCCAATCCAATCCCCTAGGGTCCCTCCAGTTGGAGCTATCTGTCCTTCTTCTGTGGTGAACCTGCCTGCCCCCCGAGGGATCAAATATTCCCAGCTCGCAAACATCTGGAACCCAAAACTTTTCAGCCTCAAGGCTTGGACTGACAAACCTTTTCCATCGCCGAGCAGCTCCTTCATCGAATCCCCCACGTCCACACCCCCCATCATGGCGTCGACGACTGCCACCCCGCAGGGCAGCGTTCGCCAGCGCAACAATGCGAAGCGGCCTACCACGCCCGCTGCCGGTGCAGCTGACGCCGTCGTCGAGTCGTTGAACAAGGCCGGTGCAAAGACCAAGCGCTCCGTCTCCCAGCCCGAGTACGGCGTCGGACTTCTCATCACCACCATTCTCGCCTTCGTCACCCGTTTCTGGGGCATTAGCCATCCCAATGAGGTCGTCTTTGACGAAGTTCACTTTGGCAAGGTACGTCGGATACTCATCTCCCAATGGAGGAAAGAAGAAAAGGGAAGAGAGGAAAACCCAGTACAGAATTAGAATCACCAGAACACATGATAGCTAACGAAGACTTCCCTCTACCACAGTTTGCCTCTTATTACCTCGAGAGAACCTACTTCTTCGATGTCCACCCTCCGTTCGGAAAGCTCCTCTTTGCCTTTATGGGATGGCTCGTTGGCTATGACGGACACTTCCACTTCGAGAATATTGGCGACTCTTACATCTCCAACAAGGTGCCCTATGTCGCCTTCCGAGCTCTGCCCGCCATTCTCGGCGCATTGACCGTCTCTGTCACCTACCTCATCATGTGGGAGTCTGGCTACAGCTTGCCCGCCTGCCTTTTGGCCGCCGGTCTTGTCTTGCTCGACAACGCTCACATTGGACAGACGCGTCTGATTCTTCTCGATGCTACCCTCGTCTTCGCCATGGCCTGCAGCTTGTTGTGCTATATCAAGTTCTACAAGCTGCGCCACGAGCCCTTCTCGCGCAAGTGGTGGAAGTGGCTGATCCTCACCGGATTCGCCCTGTCTGCCGATATCTCGACAAAGTACGTTGGACTCTTCGCCTTCGTCACCATTGGCTCCGCTGTGATTATCGATCTCTGGGGCCTGTTGGACATCAAGAGACCCGGCAGTGCCTTGAGTCTTCCCGACTTTGGCAAGCACTTTGCTGCTCGCGCCTTTGGCCTGATCATCATGCCCTTCCTCTTCTACCTCTTCTGGTTCCAGGTCCACTTCGCCGTCCTGACCCGATCCGGTCCTGGCGACGACTTCATGACTCCCGAGTTCCAGGAGACGCTGAGCGACAATGTCATGTTGGCCAACTCCTTGACCGTGGAGTACTACGACACCATCAGCATCCGCCACAAGGAGACCAAGACCTATCTGCACAGCCACGAGGACCACTACCCTCTGCGCTACGATGACGGCCGTGTTTCCAGTCAGGGCCAGCAGGTTACCGGCTACCCTTACAACGACACCAACAACTACTGGCAGATCATCCCCTTGGTTGACGACCAGAAGACAGGCAAGGCCGTCAAGAACAACGATGTTGTGCGCCTCAGGCACTTGGGTACCGATACCATGCTGCTGTCCCACGACGTCGCCTCGCCCTACTACCCTACGAACCAGGAGTTCACTACGGTGCCTTTGGCTGATGCGTACGGCGACCGTCTCAACGACACCCTCTTTGAGATCCGCGTCGAGAACGGCAAGCCTGGTCAGGAGTTCAAGAGTATCTCGAGTCACTTCAAGTTCATCCACAACCCCAGCAAGGTTGCCATGTGGACGCACACCACTCCTCTGCCCGAATGGGGCCACAAGCAGCAGGAAATCAACGGCAACAAGCAGTTGGCGCCGAGCTCCAATATCTGGTTTGTTGAGGACCTTCCCGCGATCCCCCTCGACTCTAAGAGACGCGAGAAGCCGGAGAAGGAGGTTAAGACCCTGCCCTTCTTCCGCAAGTGGTTCGAGCTTCAGCGCTCCATGTTCTGGCACAACAACCAGTTGACCAGCAGCCACCCGTACGCCAGCCACCCCTACCAGTGGCCCTTCCTGCTCCGCGGTGTCAGCTTCTGGACTCAGAACGACACCCGCCAGCAAATCTACTTCCTTGGTAACCCCATCGGCTGGTGGCTCGCCAGCAGTCTTTTGGCAGTCTTTGCCGGTATCATCGGCGCGGACCAGGTGTCACTTAGACGAGGCATTGACGCTCTTGACCACCGTAAGTACCGTGCGTATCCTTTTCTGTCTAGGACACCGTCGCTAATCATCAGCAGGTACCCGTTCGCGTCTGTACAACTCGACCGGCTTCTTCTTCCTTGCCTGGGCTACTCACTACTTCCCCTTCTATCTGATGGGCCGTCAACTCTTCCTTCACCACTACCTGCCGGCGCATTTGGCTTCCTGCTTGGTTGCTGGTGCTTTGTTGGAGTTCATCTTCACCGCCGAGCCCGCTCCCGAGGAGGGCTACGAAGTCATCAAGGGCAACAAGAAGGCCGAGGGACCTAAGAGACACATTTCGGCCCGCGAGCGATTCGCTGGTCAGAGTCTCGCTGGCGCCTGGATCGCTTGTGGCGTCATCCTTCTCATTGCCCTCGCCGGCTGGTACTTCTTCCTGCCCTTGACGTACGGATACCCTGGCCTCACGGTTGAGGAGGTTGTCCGTCGCAAGTGGCTCGGATACGACCTGCACTTTGCCAAATAAATGGCAAGCCGTTCACATCAAGACCCAACGCGGGATTGATGATACAGATACCTTTTTAGAAGATGTTGCCCCAGAAGTCAGACGGGCTCTCACATCCAACGACCCAGAGTGAACAGGTCAAGGGAACACAATGACCATAGAGTCCAGCAGAGGATTAAAATGGGGATGATTGGGGACGTCGAGTGTATTAGTAGTTTTCTTGAGTCCAAAGATATACTCCAGAGGACCTTTCTTCATGTGAAGCTGTGATGTTCCCGAGGTACAGATACCTATTGATGGCATTTCTATGCATAATCAGAGGAAAGCATCATTCAAGCTATGATATGCCTTGGTCAATGTTCCCTCATACTTGAGGTCGTGTCGGTCATCGTCCTTTGCAGGGGTGAGCTGTGTCGCAGCGACCAATCGCGTGGCTCCCCGTCTTCTCCAGGCTTCCAAAACGGACCCTGTCAGCCCTGCCGGGGCCCAATGACACCGGGCAAAATCAACTGCAGTAGTGACAGTACATAGTGACGGGACCCTTAGCTGATCCCTGCGGGAAAGCTACTTCGTATTACTGAGCACCTAGAGGTCCCCGCGGCCTCCAGGTGTTGCCTTACGTATTATCTTACGGATGATAATACAAGACTCTCGCTCGCCCGTCTTGGCCAGTGCAGGAAGGAGGGAGATCGACTTCCTACATCCGGGGGATTCCCTTTTTCTCTTCTCTTATATCGTTGAAGCTGGTTCAATGGCGTCCACGATACATCTCGCATTTTCGGTCTTTGCTCACTGACTTTATCGTGTACATCCTCTCGTCCTTCGGCCTCGTCTCCCGACGCCGATTCGCCCTCCGCTCGAACCACGACCCGAACCAACGACCACCGACGGTTAAGCTCGAGCGCAACGCCGCCGCTGAGCTCACCCCGAAAGAAAGAAAAAGCCATGGGCCTCCTCAACGGCATCCGCCTGAGCGCCCGCCGCCTCCTCCGCTCCCGCCCCTTCCGCAACCTCGCCCTCCTCGTAACCCTCTACGTCCTCCTCGACGCCCTCCGCTACCAGCGCCGCGTCACCTCGGCCCCGCGCCACGACCCCTCCCGCCCGCGGCGCGCGGAGCGCATCTACATTGCAGGAATGCACTACAACGACGCCTCCGTGATCCGGACACACTGGAATAAAGCTGTGCTAGACCTCGTCGAGGCGCTTGGGCGCGAGAATGTCTATGTGTCGGTGTACGAGAGCGGGAGCTGGGACGATACCAAGGCGGCGCTGAGGGAGCTGGACGGGGTGTTGGAGAAGAGGGGGGTCAGGAGGAATGTGGTGCTTGACGAGAGGACGCATGCGCAGGAGGTGGAAGATGTTCCTGCGGAGGGGGAGGAGAGGGAAGGGTGGATTACGACGCCGAGGGGGAAGAGGGAGATGAGGAGGATACCGTTTCTTGCGAGGCTGAGGAATTTGACGTTGCGGGATTTGTGGAAGTTGGGGGAGGAGGGGGAGATGTTTGATACGGTGCTCTTTTTGAATGATGTTGTGTTTACGGTAAGACTTGCGTCTCTCTTCCTTTTTGAATATGGGCAGCGAGCGGTAACACTGCGCATGTGAATCACCTCAAAGGCAAGAGCGGGGGAGCTAACATGGAAGACTCTAGACCGAAGACGTCCTCGCGCTGCTCGACACCAACGGCGGCATCTACGCCGCAGCCTGCTCCCTCGACTTCGCCCACCCGCCCTCCTACTACGACACCTTTGCGCTGCGCGACTCGGCGGGCCAAGCGACGCTGATGCAGCGGTGGCCGTACTTCCGCTCCGAGGCGAGCCGCGCCGCCATGATGGCCTACTCGGACGCCGTGCCCGTGCGGAGCTGCTGGAACGGGATCGTGGCGATGCCGGCGGCGCCGTTTTTGGCGAATCGGCGGGGCGCGGCTGGGGGTATCAAGAGGCTTGCGTTCCGCGGGGTGGACGATTCGTTGGCTGAGGAGGCGCATCTCGAGGCGAGCGAGTGTTGTCTCGTTCATGTGGACAATCCGTTGTCGGAGCAGTTGGGGGTGTTTGTGAATCCGAGGGTGAGGGTCGGGTATTCGCCTGCTGCGTACGAGGCTGTGAATCCGGGTGGTGGCAGGGGTTGTTGGCTTTCTGTGTGGAGGATTGTGGTTGGGGTTTGGGAGGGACGGGTGAGGCGGGTGTTGACGAGCGAGAGGGTTAAGGAGTGGGTTGTGAGGAAGAGGTTGAAGGAGTGGGAAGCTCGCGGTGGTGGTGACCAAAAGATGAGGAGCGAGAAGGGGGTTGATTGTTTGATAAATGAGGGGCAGGTGCTTGTGTACAATGGATGGGCTCACGTATGAAGTAAAGGATGGAGAGGATGGTGAGAAAGATAGAGAAGGAGAAAAAGATACCCATTGGATGTGTTATTTTCTGTAGATATATCATACCTTGTGACGTACAAAAATCAGTTACGCTCATGTCCCCTCCTGTTGGTTTTCTGGTCCGACTATTTTACACATATCAAATGAAGTGTTCTCAAAGACTGATTAAAGAAAAAGAGTTCACCACCGGTGTGGCTACATCTCTTGGTGCTCATGCTGGGATTCGAACTCGGATACTCTCGCTAAGCCTGTCGTCGAGTAGGCTGCTTGGCGTATAAATTGACTGTCGACCTTTAACCATTTCCACCACCCAGCCAGTTTGTCCTGACCTCCCGACCTAGAGAGGCGCCTGCTGTTGCTGGTGACGGGATTGGGATTGAGGCGGGGTATATACCTTTGGTCCTGTTGTATATTCAGAGTATTCCTATTTTCATTCTAAGATAGGTTAAGTAGGTATTATCGCCAAACCAACAAATGTTCCACCTGTGTTTATATTCGTATCCCTCCTTCCTTTCCTGTGGACTATAAGAAGATATCTCGCTTGAATTTCTCGATATAGGATGTGACAAGGTTTCGTCAATTTCTTGTTGGTCCCTCCTAACCTCACTCAATGATAACGTCCGACGTGCGAGCAACTACAGGCATCGCCCCAATCTCGGCGAAGAACCGTCGCAACTCGGGGTCCTCGTCTGTCTCTTTATTGACCAGAACAGCCGTCTTTGTCTCTTCGTCAGAGGCCTGGATTTCTCGAAAGTGATGGGACCTCTTGAGTGCGGGTTTCCTTTTGGGTATATTCAGCGGCTTCACGTGGAGCTCCGCTTCCGATTGTTCAAAAGTACAGTCCGTAGGTGGACCGTAGTTGTCATCCTCATCTTCTTCCTCGTCATCGTCAGAGAAGGTCATGAGGTCCTCGAAGGGTTGAGATGTCGTCGGTGCTGAGGCTACACCACCCTGGTCCTCCCAGGTCTGGTCTGCGGTGAATGCTTCGGGAGATAAGGGGCTAACGAGGTACGCCCCATCATCATCAACGACATTCTCTGTTCCCACCTCGTCTACAAGGCCGTCGATGTACGTTCCCTCTCCATACCCCTCATCCTCATCATCGTTCATCTGGTCGTCGCTATCCGCCCCGTTCTCTTCGTCGCCTATCTCACCTTCGTCATCAACACCAACACAACACCTCAATCCGCTCTCCCTTCCACTACGTCTGCCCTGGTCCCGAGTTCTCAACCTCGAGCCAAATTCCTCCTCCGGATCAGCAAGCAACTCCAGCAACGCCCCCTCCTCGTCGAGCAGATTACACTCCCTCGCGATACCCAACGCCCCAGACGCCGCAGCAGCAACGAGGCGCCCGCCTAACCCAGAGCTTACGACCCGCGGGACGTCGTTCATCTGCAGCACGTCGAGGAGCGAGATACCGTGCATGCTTAGCTCGTGAAGCTGCGTGGAGGTAAGGTACCCCCGCCGCTCTGCGTCCGCGGCGCGGAGTTTTCGAAAGGCGGGTAGGGCCGTGGAGGTTCGTCTGTGCGAAGGGTCCGTCGAGAATGACGGAGATGAAGGGGACGGGAGAGGGGAGTGAAGGTCTACCACGGCCAGCATGTCGTTGATAGCGTCTGCTGACCACTGTACGGAGCGGATGGCTTGTAGGAGGCGTGTGTACTCGCGCCTGCGCGGGTGGGAGGGGAAGTTTCGAGCGTAGTCTCCTGATCTGGGGGTTAGGGGTAGGGGCAGGATGGGTTCGACGAGGTCGGTTTGGGGTTCGAGGGGGTTTATGGAGGGGGAGGGGATGCAGTGGAGGACGAGGTAGCGGAGGATGTTTGCGTTGCGGGCAAGGTGGGTTTGGAGGGTGCTATAGGGGGTCGTTTGGGGGAGGGAGAGGCCGCGAGCGATTGTGGTGAGAGGGATGAGGGCGGATGGTGAGGAAGGGTGGTAAGGGGGAAGGAGGTCTTTGTCGGTTGTGGGAGAGAGGGGGGATCCGTGGTCGGGGTGGGATGTGGTTGCGTAGATGTCGAGGAGGTCATCTATCTCTTCTTCGTCTTCTTCGCCCTCGCTCGGGGAGGCTGGGGATGCCTTAGAGATCGGGGAGAGAGAGCCTGCGTTATCCGAGGAGTCTGAGGAGTAGACGGAGGAAGAGCGTCGCGGGGATGCAGGTGACTTTGGCTTTGATATCCAGTGTTCGTCTTCCACGGTGGTTGACTTGAAGAACTGGCTCGTACTCTCAAAGACTGTCCTCATGGGTGTGCTATCGAATTCACCAGCTTTCGTTGTCGTGAACCCATCTCCTTTCTCGGCCGCGTAGGATACCTCGGAAAAGGTGAGGGCTCTGGGGCTATGTTCCAACGAGTCTTTGCGGAGGGGGAACGTCAGCGGACTCTCTGATGCCGCGTTGAACTCTGCATTTGCCCTGGTAATGCTCATGACCAAAGCCTGGGGACAAACATCGGAGTAACTCGATCTCTCATTGTCGTCATACCAACCCAGTCCGGCGACGGGGCGAATAATCTCATGAGCAGGAGTCGGAGGGAGGTTCTCCTCTTCATCAGCATCGGCCTGCCACCCTTCAAATTCTCTAGAGAAGGAGCCCAGCATATCCCCAATCGAACGCTCATGTCCCTTGGAATACTCAGAGAAATCAAACAACACCTCCGCATCCGGCGTGGAGTTCGATTCTGCCTCGTTCGTCTGGTCATCACCAGTCCCATCGACGACATCCGCCCCCGAGATCAAGGGGTCCGGAACCGCCGCCTCTTCGACCATACTTCTCAAATCCTCAAAGTACAGCGACGGCAGATGAGGCTCACTGCCCTCGCCGTCAGAGGGGTCTTCTTCCGCGGTGGATGTCCCATCGCTGGAGTAGTCGACCAAAGTCATCTCCAATCCCTCCTCTCCCGCCGTCAAGGATCCTCCAGGCCCCTGGACCGTCGTCAAAGAGCCCGAGGCCGCGCCGTTCGTCGGATGCAACCGCAGTCCGTCTCTCATTACCACACCACACACTTCGAACGCAGGCATATCCTCTCCTATCTCCTTCTTTTGCGCCTCCGACCTGTGACGTTGAGCATTAGCACCTTCTTCTGCCTCGTGACCACACGGACGTGAAGACTCATCAACAGCCCATGACCAGCGCCGGCTGTGATCGTGGCGAATTACCTCTTCCGCTTCATCGCACTCCTCTTCAAGCTTCTCATCCTCTTCATCACGTCCGCCGCGCCCGCACTCGCACTCACGTCCACCGTCCCTCCAATCCCCAAACTCCTGCTCGTCGAAGTCGTCGTCATACTCCTCCCGAACCGCCGCCTTGTCCCGGCGACGGTCCTCTTCGGCGGCAGAGAGAACCCAGCCATCGTCGTATCGAGCGGTTCCTTTCCCCCCACTCCCGTAGACCGTCGTCGTGGTTCCGAACCGAACGTGTAGCGCGTCGTCGTCTGCGCTGAGGTACTTGAACTTCTGACTTGGCCTCACCCGCCGTTCAGCGTCTTCCGTCCGCCGGATGAGCTCGATGAGCGCCGCGGGGGACTCACCTCTGAGCAACAACTCCGTCTCCCTGACGCCCTGGGCCGGAGGGGCCGAGGGACGGTGTGTGGGTGACTGGGCGCCGCCGTATACGGAAGAATCGGGTGCGTCGTAGCTGTATGTGTCCTGTGGACAGTTGCGCTTGGACTCTCTATCTTCGTCTTCGTGGGTTTGATCGGTGGTGGGAGAGTAACACTCCGACGTCTTGGTCGTCGACGTCGTAGGGCGGTGACGGTATGGTTCGCGGGATGATCTCGAGGGCCTTCTTCTGTTGGACGTCCAGCGTCCAAGGGATGGCCATGTGAAGCCCATTGTTCCTCGAGATTCGGAAACTTAAATTATTCTCCCTAGCGATTGTTTTTGCGCGCCCAAAGGAAATGGAAATCTAGATAAGAAGTAGGAAAGAAGTCGAAGAAGGAAGCAATGGACTAGTCGACAAATGTAAGATGAAGCTGGGCTGACTCCTTTTTGACCTAGATGGAACTTAAGGAAGGGCCACTTTCTCTCCTTTTGGCCGCTACCTGATGCTCGAAAGAATGGTATCTGCCCTATAAAGAAGTAGCCTTTGACTGGCCCCTTGCTCGTCAGGCAAGGGGAGGAAGAAGCACCAGAGGCTGTCATGTCAAAGAAAAGGAGGCTTCCTCATGGTATTCTTTGACTTTTCCTTGTTCCTAAATGGGGACCTGTAAAACATCATTGGCCGTTGATTCGAGGGCCTGGAACAGCATGCAACGAACATGACAATGATGTTGTTGATTCTAATTCGATTCAGTATGATTTTGACGTCTGTCTTTGAAGAGTTAACAGTTTTGAAACATTCAGTTCTTCAGGAGAAAAGATGTCTTCTGGATTCCTCAATAATGATCCTCATAGTCATGGAAAGGGAGGGGAAAATATTGAATCCTAGCAAACATCAACGCCCGGACGTCCTTATCCGAGAACCCTTCTTGAACGGAGCAGAGTTTCCAGAAACAGAACAAGAAAAGTTTCCGGATGAAGATATCCCTTGTTTCGACAATTGGATGTAGACCGCACTGTCTTGACTGTTCTCGACGACGACGCCCAGCCAGTTGGCTACCTCGACGTATCTGCCTTATCTCCTTCGTATGTTGATTACCCTCAAAGAAACAAAAACCACTGAGGACGAGCGGGACCGCTTGCTCGTCTTCACCAGATGGGCCAGCATTAGAAACAAGGTGATGTGAGAAAGATGCCGCCGTCTAGCTCGGGATCATTACGAGTGCCTCTGTCTATCCAGAAGGAACCAATCCCAGCTGTCTGCCGAATTTTAGGGAAAGTGAACAACCTGGTTGTCGAGCATCACGAATGAGAAAACTGCAGCATTAGTTCCAAGACAAAGTCCTCATAAAAGCCACCTTCAAACTGTGTACCTAGCAGGGAAGAATAACATGAAAAAAAAACACGAGGCATTGTATTGTCCCGCCCTCTTTGTCCACAGCCCGAAATACCTCTCCTCGTCGATACAAAAGGCTCAAGTCGAAACCTCTCAAGAAGAGAGACAGACCGAGAGATAGAGAGTCTCTCAAGAAGCCAGTCGTATCAACCAGCCACGAATCGAAACCCAAAACCCCGTTTCCAGCCTCCAGGGGCTAAACCCTCAAAACTCAAGCAACCCAACCCCCCGAGATCGATTAAGACAGAGGTCTAGATGACATACGGTAGAGGTACGTCAAATTTCGAAATATCACCGGGGGTGGTTTCGTGCCCCAGAAGTCGAACGAGAAAGATGTGCTGGGAAAAGCAAATAATCTACACAGACTGCCACCACAGCGTCTTCGAAGACATAGACTGCGCAGACTACAAGACGCAACAGGCGCGCAAGCTCAACCCACACGACTCCAGCTTCACCTCCTCCTCCTCCGTCAACTCTGCCGGCTCTGCCCGCAATCATCATCATCATCAGCTCAACACCAGCAGCGCCAACAACGCCAAAAGAGCACGACGAACCCGCAACCCCCGCTCCCCGTGGATGTTCCTCCTCTGTCCCTGCTTTCCCTGCCCCTCCACCCCCTCCACGCCGCCACCGCCGCAAGCCCACGAAGAGCCCGGTGTCTGCCGCGGAAGGAAACGCTGCATGAGTCCCGTTGGGGGAAAGTGTCCCCGTTGCGTCCAGGACAAGGCCGTTGCGGCGATGCAGGCCGTTCCTCCGTCGACGCCGACGCTGGCGAGGACGCGGTATCAGCAGCAGAGGCGTCCGGAGTTGGGGGGGAATAATGGTATGAATGATACTTACGGTGTTCCAGGTGCTTCAGGAGATCGAAATCGGGGGCAGAAGGCCCCGCGGCGGGGGGATAATGTGCGTCGATATCAAGACTCCGGCGCTCCGGGCCAGCCGACGGGTGGTCACGAGGGGAACGGCACGAGGAGAGATGGGGGGAACGCTGACGGTAGAAGTGGCGGAGGAGGTGTTGCTGGTGCAGTTGAACATAGTTCAAGGGGTGGTAGATCTCCGACGTCGCCGTGGTTCAATAAGCGATTTCACGACGCTCGCGGGGAGGAAGCCAGCCAGCAGCAGCAGCATCGTCGAGGAGAGCAGCAAGGTGCCCAGCAAGCACATCTTCACCAGCGGCCTCAAGAGCAGCGGATCCCGGTAAGTCACGATGGACAACGACAGCAGCAACAGCAACATCAAGTGCAAAAGAGACCAAGTGGTCTTACATCGCCCCTTCCCACGCAGCCCGAGCCAATACCCTCATACGTCCGTGGATCTACTTTCCACCTCCTCCCCGCGCCCCTGAAAATCAAAAAGAAGAAAAGCAAACAAGAGACGTCCCCTCGTGCGGTAGAGGGGACGGCCGATATGTCCGAAGGGCTAACCCGTAGTTCGGCGAGCGTAGGCCGTCCTCTACAAGTGAACGCCACCCATCAAACAGGAGAACAACGGAGCAGCCGGGATCAGCAACAGGGAGACCACCGCGCAGTAGTCAGCAGCTCGGAGCCACGCATCACAGAAGCGAAATGTACCCCCGAGTTGCCACTGGAGGAGCTGATGGATGAGGTTGAGATGCTGTGGCGGAGGGTCCCCAATTAGGAGTAATGGTGAGCTTTAGCCGCGTGGCTGGTGAAGAGGGGGATGGGAAGCATTCCTCTGGTTGCAAAGTAGAGAAATAGAGTAGGTCATGTTTCCAGCGATCTGGCCATCCTTGTCCCAGCCGGCCATCGCCTCCCAAAGCAATCATACCTTAGTGTACCATGTCTGAGGGCCGCTGAGAGAAGGTTCAATTTGGGAGCCCATTGGGAATCTGACGTGCATAACTTGGGGACGAGTAAACTTTCAAAGGGTCTAGCGGAAGGAAACAAGCTCAAGGCAGAGAGAATAAACAACAACAATGTCACAACCCTCTTTCTTTTCATGTTGATACAGATTCGTGGCCTCTGTGTTAGTTCAATCAATGACTGGCTTGTCTGTTGTGCGTCAGGTGGAACGAACATGGTCTCAGGGAACGGGTGTGCCTGTCTGGTGTAGAACTGCATCGGTTCAAAGAAGCGAGTAACCGGTACGTATCGTATTGGCCTAACAAAGAAGAAGAAATGCTGATGCCTTGTTACGACGCGGTCGAAAGTCCTAGGAAGAAAAAAAGAGGTGGCCGCAATTAATCGGCGAAGCGGAGTTTGGTGATAGGCTGCTCTATTTCCGCAAAGCTGATTGGTGACGGAGGGACACCCATAGGGCTGACCGACGGGCAGACAGTTGGGGTCGGGATCGCTGATTCGTGACCGCCTACGTGTCGTCGATACACGACGGGCTTCTTGAGCCAATGGGATGGCGGCATAGGCTTTGCGGATGAACCGATACCCGTTGGAATGAGGGGGGTTCCTAACGAGTCCTAACTCTTGCGTTCTTTTTAGGGCCCCGGAATACGATACGGGGTACGGGATTCGGCGTGTTCAGGAACGGTCATGTAACGTGTAAGTGACGAGGCGGCTAAGTTATTGAGTAGGTACACAGGACGATGTGACGCCGCCTCTCTCCTGCGTTCGGGGTAAGTCATAGTGTGGACGGTGAGCCGGGAACCGATTTTGAGTCAAAAAGCTTGCTTGCTTTGAGTTTCTTGCTTCTTTCATCTGTCGGTATACAGCTTGGATTGGCTTGCGTTAAAGTTACTGGGACAGGTGGACAGCCACGCCAGCCCTATGTGTGGAGAGGAACCGGGAGGGTTGTGCGAGTGCGAGTGATGATGGTGGTGAGCAATTGGTTGACCAAGGTTCGTTTGAATGTGTTCCTGCGAGCAGACGCGCATCCGTCATGCGACTTTCCCTGCGCCAAAGTCCTGTGCAGCAAACAAGCATACACGACTGAGTACGAATCCCTGGGTACGGATTCGTTGGTGATATGCGCAACCGCGCAATCCAGCACCGTCAGAGCAACACGCCAAGCTTCAATCAACGCAAGCTAGGTGACGACTGACGGACGAGTCAAGACATGCAGGTCCATGTTATTGCTGTTCGTGCCCTAGATTTCCAGACTCCGACTGTCCCTGAACCCCGATTAGGTGAAATGCGAACGGTCGCTCGTGCGAAGCTGCGGGTTACGAGCTGTCAATGGCTCAGAATCCTCAACCTTCAAACTGTAACCCTGGTACCGCGTGCTCTGTACCGAACGTCATTCGGCCGACCCAGACCAGACTGGTGGGTGGGCTTTGCTTGGCTAATCAGACTGGGTGTGTAATCTTGGTGGGTGGGATGGAGAATCAGAGCGCCCGCTGGCCATTCCGACCCCTGCCTGTCCCGTGGTCTCTAGTGACAGGCCGGACGAAAATGCCGACCTTGACCGGAAGTTGAAGCAAAGCTTTTTGCCTGCTCCAGCGTTTTCTTCTCTCCTGGTCTGTGGATGCGCTGGCTTGATCGGCCCCCAACAGTAAGCAGAGGCCATGGCAGTTGGTCCGCAGTGGACCGTTTTCAATAAACTCCACATATCACGGACCACGAGTTGATGGAGACTGGTGATATCAGCAACGCGCGAGAAATGGTATCCGTACGGGCGCCAAGGGCGTCATTGGTCAATTTCCGCGTTGAGAGGTGACATAATGAAGAGGGTTGGTGTTGGTCTCAATTCAAACTGGACCCCGTCTGCCGTTTTGGGCAAACGCAAGGGGAGCCCTGATCTGCTGGTCGTTGAGAAGGCCTATCGCAAAGACGTAGGTACGCATCACAGTGGATGGCAGCATGGCATTGCTGCGACCTTGAGGGCCTGCGGAGGAGGCTGAGGGCCCTTTGAGACTCTGAGTGACAGAGGAGCGGAATTTGGAGTATGTAAGACAGCCAACAGTTCGCTTGGGAATGGTCCCAGGTTGGCGGAGAATGAAACGACCCAGTGGAAAGTCATGGATCGGGCTGGCGGGTGGAGATTGATGAGCGGGTTAGCTTTGGGACTTTGGTTCTGATGGGCTGATTTTGACGGGGGTAAGCGAGAGAGACTCAGAGCGAGGCCAAATTAAGTCTAATCCCTGACCCAGTTTCCGAGTGTAAAAAAGGTACCGTGCATGAGACTATGAGTCTTGTCCAGTCTTGCTCATGTCTTGGTTCTCATGAGGACTCTTAGCTTGCCGCCCTACCGTTAGCGGCCTCAAAGCCACGACCGGTGCAACAGGTGTGCAGGAGAGAGGGCCATAATAAGGTAGGTAGATAGCGAGCTATGCTGTGCTGTGGTGACTGGCGAGCTTGGCTGTGCAGATGCGTTTCTGGTCACTCGTATGTTAATCTGGACGAAAGCGTCCCGACTCCAAGGGCGCTGGTGAGGCTGGACAGCCAAATCGTTCCCTACATAGAGGTTTCGAGTGTATCCGTAGTCCGTACAGAGTACGAAGTACTGCGTAGGGAGGCACTGTCACCTGTGGACAACGGCGAGAGATGAGGATGCCCAATAGCCCACTTCAGCCCATCTTCAGCGGTGCATGTTGAAACTTGATCGAACCTTGCGATACGCCCCCATCTGTGGTCACGCCTTGCTGCCGTCTCCATTTGTGAAGTGACTCTGTGCAGAGGGAGATGTTCTGGCGCCCGTCCGGCTGGCGCACCCTGCTTTCGAATACAGTACCGGACCAGACCCTTGCGTTTCCCGCTTCTCGGGACCCATCAAGATTTGCGAGCTGGAGAAGGCAGCCGTCAATCCGATACATCGTTCTGACGGGTTGTACTTTGTACTATTTGGGGTTGGCAATGGGTTTGCGTTTCCCGCCCCTCGAATGGAGCATTCAGGGACGAGAGAATTCGTCTGCCTCCTGTGAGGTGCGCGGCGGTATGGAAGTTGGATGGGTGCAATGCACCATGGTGAGCTGTGCTTGAACTCCCAAGCTGGACCGCAATGACAAACAGCAGTAAATGTGACAAGCAGCAGCAGCAGCAGCAGCAACAACAACAACAACAACAGACACGGAGTCGGAGTCGGGGCCAAAGGCTGGTTGAGGTTCCATTGTTTTGCTGACAGCAGCGTCATTGGTAGCATAGGAATTGAGACGTCAAGTTGCAGTGCAAGGTGTTCATTTCTGACACCCAGTGACCCAGGGTAGCGAGGACAACTAGCATCTGGTGTTCCGGGTTGCCGTTACTCTGGCGGCTGGGTGTCTCTTAATGGGGCAGAGTATTGGTGATGGTATCATTGCTTCGAGGGAAGTGATGCGAGGTGATGAGAGGTAGTCGGTGCTAATCGTGTACTTTGATGCTTGATTCGGGGGGGCTGTGCTCATGGGGTTGTCCACCGCCGTGCAGTTTGAGCAGCGGGCAGCATAGCTGCGGTGACCCTAACAGCGGGTCTTTCCAATGTTCAGGTGGCCCGGATTGAGGTGCAGCCAACATTGTTTGGAACGAGTGGAGTTTTGGCTTGTTGCCGGCGGGCGGGCTTAACGGAAAATACTGGCGAGAAATCTTCATTTCCATGTTGGACGAATGATTGCTGGTGAAAAGGCGAGTCGATGGGACTCTGGGAGGTTGAGACCGAGGAGACCGAGGATGGGACTGTGGTGGAAGATGGCAGAATTGAGGACAGGATGTGGTTGATGGTACGAAGTACGTACCTAAGGTAGGGTAGGTACCTAGGTACATACCTACAGGTAAAGTGGTGGTGGTGGGGTTCAAGGTTGAAGGGCACCCTCGGTACGTATCTTTTTTGGTGACCGGGGGTTGGATCCTTCCTGATCCGCAAAGCCCAGACTCCGCCTCCACTGGGCCACGGCGACGATCTCCCATTGGCTAGTCGATTAGGCAGCAGCCTTTCGCCCCGGACGCTCTCTTCAGAGTTCTGGTCCGCTCAATTGTCGCTCCCGTTCAGCGCAGCGGCGCTCTCTCTCTCTCCACCGGTGCTCGTCTGGCTGCTGGACTTTCTCTCACTCTACTGCGTAAGGTGCTCAGTGCTGGGCTGCTTTTCTAATCAAACCTCGATGACCTTCGACCCCCGGTACACCAACAACCGCCTCTTCCTCGCTCACGACCACCACGCGCCTCTTCTCTCTCCTTCCACCCACCCTCAATCCTCGACCGAATCCTCTTCCTCCTCCTGCTTCTCTTCCTCCTTTTTTTGCTCTCCTCGATTTCTAGGATATCCAAGCCGCTTCCTCGACACCAAACCCAATCCCGTCTTGTCCCACTGAGGCCGCCGCACTTCAGTCCGCTTCTTCCTCGTCTCTTGCTCTTCCTCCCGGATACACATCATCCTCAAAGAATATCGCCCACGGCAAGCAGCTCAGACTATCTACGTCTGCTTTCTTCCATCCTCTGTGTGCATACGCCGACGCGTACGACAGCTGGGACGAAAAGGCGCATCATACTACATTGTCTTGCTCCTCTACCCGCAGACAGGACCCCTCAAAATCAGGCAGACTTCAACGGCCTCGCCTTAAATCCACTACTCGCCTGCTCTGCTCGCCTTTCGCCTCGTCTGGCCTTCCGTTGCCATCTCCCCATACCATCGACGTTATCGCCTTCGATACCATCTTTCATCTCGACGTAAGGCCCCGTCTCGTCCTATTCTTCCTCTTCCTCTCTCTCTCTCTCTCTCTCCCTCTTCATCCACTTTGTCCACACGATATCCGTCTCAAACATTTCCCGCCACCTCATCACATTGGCCAATCCTAAACCTTGGGCTTGCTCAAGAGGCTAGGACTACTACATCAGACCTACCAGTGAGGTCCTGGTCGTGACTCACACTCCGTGTCCTATTCAGCCCTACAACTCCATGAACCCTCAAGAGATCTAACACAACCTAGCCGACAGAGTTCTGGACACCCGTGTCATCACCGTCACCATGTCCGTCTCCGTCAACCCTCGACGCAGGACTCCGGTGACTCGCCCGGAGTCTCCTGCCGGCACTGGCCTCACTCTTAAGACCAACAGCCTCCGCAAGGGCGCTACCTTCCACTCTCCCACCAGTCCTACCTCTTCTATGGATGATGCCTTGACTGCTGCCCCTCCAAGCCTTCGACGCTCCCAGACCAACCTGGACGACGTTGTCGACGCCCACTGCCGCCGCATGGCCTTGATCGTCGACGACATTGACAAGTCCCTTGCCAACATCAACCTGGTCTCCCCCAAGACCAAGTCTTTCCGCGACGATAGTCTTCCCGTTCCCAGAGGCTTCCTCAACCTGCCCGTTGTCGACCCCGCCATGGCAAAGGAAAAGTCAAAGGAGACGGAACGTCGCATTCTGCGTCCCAGAACCCGCCGTTCCTCGAGACATCATGAATCAGACAGCGGACTCGGAACCTCTGTCGCCCCCACCACCGAGACAGAGCCTGCAACCACCGCATCAAAGAAGGCATCCGCCATCACAAGGTCCGCTGCCAACACTTCTTCTGCCACCATGGAGAAGCTTCCCGCCCTCAGCTCCAAGGCTGTCAACCGCATTCACGAGCACGTCCTCCGCCCACTCCGGGCCAAGCCTGCTCTCAAGGACTTTGAGCCGATTGTTCTTGACATCCCCAGACGCATTAGGGAGAAGGAGATCATCTGCCTGAGAGATCTCGAAAAGACCCTTATTTTCATGGCACCCGTAAGTCATTCACTAACTGAAACTGGAGTTTGGGCAATTACTTATCGATCGTTGATGAAGGAGAGGACCAAGACCGCCGCCTTGTACCTCGATTTCTGCCTGACGTCGATCCACTGCATTCAAGCAACCGTGGAATACCTAAGCGACCGAGAACAGACTCGACCAAACGACCGCCCTTACACTAACGGATACTTCATCGATCTCGTGGAACAGATTCGCCAGTACGCAGGACAACTTGCTGCCGCCAAGGAGACTGGATCAGACGCCGCTGAGATGGACGTCGACCCGTACGATATTCGTTCCCAATTGATCCCTCACTCAACTAACTTGTTCCGTAGGACCGACGAGATCAAGCTCTTCGGAGGCATCGCTGACAACGGCCGCCCTGCCGAGCTCATCCGTATTCGCAAGGATGGCAAGGCCATTTCAATGGCCACCGGCTTGGAGGTCGATTTGGATGACCCCAAGAGCCCCATTCAGATGAAGCGCTCATTGAGCCAGCAGTTGGAGGATGACGAGGAGATTATGCGTTCCATGGCTCGCCGCAAGAAGAACGCCAGCCCTGAGGAGCTTGCCCCCAAGAAGTGCCGTGAGCCCGGCTGCAACAAGGAGTTCAAGCGTCCTTGTGACCTGACCAAGCACGAGAAGACTCACTCTCGTCCTTGGAAGTGCCCCGTCACTTCATGCAAATACCACAACTATGGCTGGCCGACCGAGAAGGAGATGGATCGCCACCACAACGACAAGCACTCGTCGGCCCCGCCCATGTACGAGTGCTTGTACAAGCCCTGCCCATACAAGTCTAAGCGGGAGTCCAACTGCAAACAGCACATGGAGAAAGCCCATGGCTGGCAATACGTTCGCACCAAGACCAACGGCAAGAAGCCCTCGAGCGTTGCCGGCAGTGTCGCCCAATCCACCCCTCTTCTCAACCAAATGCCCACTCCCTCTACGAGCAGCGCCGCTACCCCGCCTGCTCCTTTGGACCAGGCTCAGCAGTTCAACTTCAACGACCCTCTCCTCGCTCCAATGCACCCCATCGGTCCTGTTGGCGACTTTGCTTCCCACATTGACGGCATGGAGTTCCCTTCCTACATCTCGGACGAGGAGTTTGACCAAATGGTTGGTCAGGGTGGGTTCGATGGACAGATGGATTTGGAGATGTCCCTGTCTCCTTCCGACCACAACACCCCTGCCACCGAAATCTCGACTGGGCCATACATTTACCAGGACGGCCCCGACTTCACGGTGAACGAGGATATCTACGGCGCACACGCCCAGATCCCCACCCCAGACAGAGCCGTCTTCGCTCAGAAGGAGCTGGACATGGCTTTCCCTATCTACCAGCCTGTTCCTGCTTGCCAGCCTCAGATTGTTCCTGCCCAGACTGCACCACATATCTCTCCTATTGGTCAGGGCAACGCAATGCTCTTTACGCCAAACTCGTTGGCCGAGGTTGACGAGGGTTTTGAGGACAACTACACCGGTGGTGGAAATGAATTCTGCGGCAACGACTTCCAGCTGTTCCCTGCCAACAACGTGACCAAGATGTACGAGCCACTCTTCGGCGAAGTGCCAAGTGCTGGCTTGGGTTACTCGCAAGCGTCACAGGATCCTTTCCAATCCATCGACTGGAACTTGGATTACCAAAACTTTCAAAGCCAGTAAATGTGTACTTGGGCTTGGTGCGTTGGAAACTTGTGACAAAAACGTTGATCTGGCACGGGGCCAGCTAATGATTTGATGACTGGATGGGATGGGCCTCACAAGAGGTTCGAGGAAGTCGGACGTTCGACTTTTCCTCTTTTGCGTACTTTGTATTATTGATCTCGCACATCTACGCTGCTTGCTCCAGGACTTGTCTTGTTTCTCATTTTTGATTCACATGAGATTGACGATAGAGAAGATGGTTTGGTGTAGTGGGATACGTGGTGGATGAGCAGCCAGACTTGAGAGTCTATGGTTTGAAACTCCGCGATTTGAGGATGAGGGTCTAGAGACATATCTCGCTCAATTTGATATGGCATTTTTGAAGCCACAAAAACAAAACCGTTTCCGAGTGCCCGTTGAGCAATGCCCTGAGATGACACACTGACTTGACTACCATTAGGTAGTCTCGTGTTCGCTGATGGATAGTTTGCTCTGGGTTCTCAGAGGCACAGAAAAAAAGACACCAACACCAAACACCAATAACAACGGCAAAAACATGGAGCAAAGGCACAGCAGCTCTACCTTGGGGAGTGAGACTTGGAAACGCAGTGTCCCGAAACTAATTCGGGCCTCCGCGGGGAGAGGGACATGA